ACTAATTAGATACATAATTATATAATATCAAAAAATTACAGCCCACATATTGAACTAGCTCTATTTAAATGAAAAGGAAAACCTATATTTCAAAAGAGAATCACGAATTTAAGATAACCAAAAAAATACACCACATCCCAATGTTGACTTATGGTCGATCTTATATTTTGATTATAACAAACAAAGTATTTTTATATATCTAACACTTATATTCGAGTCTTCGTTGTATATGTCGCGAACTTGATGAAAATCGATTATTCACAATCAAACTTGGAAATTGAGTATTTTCAATCGGGTACTCGTGCTAAAACAATCGGAGACAAATCAAGCACTTGCGCCAAATTCAAAATCGAGCACCAAATCGTGCACTCGCGCCAAATCAATCGAAAATATTAGTACTATATGTTTGAACTCACTTGTAAAGGTAAAATACTTTAATCTTTAGCAATGACTTATTAAAAGCTCAAGTGACGAACTTTTATGCACGATAAAAGTTTACTTCGTAAAATCGTTAGCACAAATAATATTTTTCAAATGTAAGAATTTCAACTTAATTTTCAAATCATTAGCATCACTTACCTTGGAAATTCTAAAGCCTACCTTGTCAGAAAATCAAAACGGATAAACTGGAGGAAAATATTTTTCTGTCCATCCCGACGTCCGGATGGTGAACCGGACATTCGGTTTACCTTCAACGGTTAGATTTGACCGTTTTGATTTCTGACAAAGTAACAACTATTCAGCCGTTCGGTTCGACAGAAAATTTCACTTTTTCAACTGCTATAAATACTAACTCACTTGCCATTCATAAATACAACAAAAGAGCATTAAAGTGAAATTCTTACGAGCAAAATTGTATTGATTTCTCATATCATTTATTATCATCAAATCATTTTAGATTTGAAAAGCTTTTGATCAAATTAACTTTTAAAATCATTATACTCATCAAAGTTTTTCTTTCCTAACACTTGAACTTCATTCATTGCTATTTATTAAAAGTGTTAGCCTATTTCTCTCTTGATACTTAATTGTGATAATATCTTTATTAAAAGAGAAGTTTTAATTTGTATCATCAATTTTCTTTTAAACTTGTGGGTCGTGTTGAGATCCCGTAAAGATCACCGGTGTAAAATGATCGGTGCTCCTTGTGTGTAAGTCATCGAAAGCTTTGTAAAGGGTTGGATTGGGTCGTGTTGAGATCCCGTAAAACTCAATGTTGTAAAAAGATTGATGCTCCTTATTTTTAAGTCATCAGAAGCTTTGTAAAGAGTTGGATTGGACCACAAATCAATCAACATAGTGAAATTGGCCTTGTTCGTACTGGAGATATTGGTAACAGATGACGTAGATCATTGCGTTGGATCGAACCTCAATAATTATGTCGTTTGCATGATCTATTCCTCTTTACTTATTGTTTTCATATTCGTGCTTATTATTTAAATTAATCTGTCTAGTTATTACGTACTTGATTATATATTAATTTTTCGAAAAAGTTTTAAAAACAAATCCAACCCCCTCTTGGTTAGCTATTCTTGGACTATCACCCAAGCTATGAATATATTAAATTCAATTGACATGTGTTATAAAAAAAATCACTTAAATTTGTAAACAATACAAGAAAGTAAAAACCTCGAATTGCATTCAGCAACTTACAACTAGTGTTCTAAAATGCGTAATGCGTTGCGATGCGTCGAGTCCGAGAATCAAGAATCACAAGTTTAGGCGTGTCAATGCGAAGAATAAGCGTCATAATGCGTTTCGTATTTTTAAGGCATTAAATATATTTTTATATAAAAAAATAGATTTTTTACAAAAAAAAAAAAAAAGAAGGAGTTTATAAAAAAAAAATAGATTTTTTACAAAAAAAAAAAAAATTGGGCGGCATAATGCACGTGTTAGGGGCGGCTAGGCGGGATTACGCGCGCCTAGACGCGCGCATTGCGCCTTTTAGATGGAAAACGCATTTTCCTGCGCATTCCCGAATTCAACGCGTTTTGGTCACTCGTCGCGCCGAGGTGGCGCATTTTCGCAAATTTTAGAACACTGCTTACAACAATCTAGTTTGAACTTTTTGATTCATAGAAAGTTCAAATTGTAAAGTTTAACATGTACTATCCTCTTAAATGAAACTATATGATGTAATGCGAGTGGCAAAGAAGTAAGAGTCCGTCTTGATTTCTTAGGGTTAGGGTCTAAAGTTTTAGATTAGTTACTACCTAAATTAGGGTTTTAGATTTTGTATTTTTTTACCCATCGTATAAATTGTAAATAAATTATTATATAAAAAATCGGTTCCATTCAAATATTCATGGTTCTAATTTAGAAACCAAGATCTGAACTGAACCCAGTCGATTATCGGTTCTCGATTTTGGTTCCTAACTTATTTTTTTGGGGAATCGAACCAAAACCTTCGATTCCGATTCATTTTTGGTTTGAGAGAATCGATTCCGATGAGAATCTCCTCCATTGCAAATTTGGTATTAAATTTTGCTTTGAACCAATTTGGTAACTAATCAATTTGTAATTAACCGGATCGATTTTCTCCAAACCCGTTCGTTTTTTGATTGGTTTAATTGCTAACGAACCAATTAATGCATCCGGTCCGATGTTAATAACCATGTTGCCACCTCTAGTTGTATGGAAGAAATATTTAAAAAGTACTTTCCTTTTTTGAGAGTGCATGGTTAAAAATAAGAAAAGTTATGGGAAAATGTAAAAATTGATTTTTCAGTTGTGCAACTACATGTATATAACTTGTATAATGGTTTAGCTACAGATGATATGACGAGATTTAATTGAATTAAAATCTCATCAGTCAAATAACTTCCCTACTTATATTTTGACACCTCATCATTATGTAAAATATTATGTAAATAGTTATGTACAAGAAGCATTTTCCATTCTAGGTTACTTTCTTATGTATATAGATCTTTAGATTGCTGGCTGATGAATCGCAAATCATGCCACTGCTTCAGATTGCAGATGTATACCTCATCATTATGTAAAATATTAGATAAATAGTTATGTACAAAAAAAAAATACTTTCCTTGATATTTTTTAGGAATATCTAGTTAAATTCAAGAGCAGAGAGCATGCCGTGTGTCACCATCTATTCTACGTGTCCAAGCATGAAAGAAGATGCATTTTCCTTATGCGCTTATAGTATGTGCTATGGGCCAATTGGACTTGGATCATCATTGGACCAAGTTTTCCATCAAAAATGGATACCGGTCACAAGCATTTCATAGGTTATGTACCCAGGGTGTCACACATTAGAAGTTCGGGAACCAATATTACAAGGTTTAAAGGTTCGAGACCCTTGCATGAGTTTTCTCAAGAGGTAATCACGTGAGACATTGCACCTCATGACTACCTTGTATTGATAGGAAATTGCTATTCTAAAATTGTGTTAGTTCCATTTCCTTCTGTTGACCTCAGAAAATGAGCTAAACAGATGACGTGCCCACTCATGTATACGTGAGCCATATTCGGCACGTTAAAGCGGATCTACGATCGAGATTGGACGTGGGAGAGGCTCAACAGCAAGATACAATTTCCGTTCGGACTCCGGCAAGATTTACGGAACAAGATTGTATAATAAACAATTGACAAGAACAATATCTGTAGTTGTAATAAACTGATCAAAAGAATACATGTTGCTCTGAGTATTTAAAGTTTCACTATTCTTTAATTGTTACATGGTGGGGATATTTATAGTGCTACAAATGGAGTGGTGACCATTGGATCAATCTACACGTGACTTCGTCTCCTCGGTCGAAACATCAAATCCTAACTATCTAGTTGACCTTCCTATCTTTTCAAAGCATTTAATATTATTATATTGATAAGACATGACACAAATACACTTTTTATAAATGTCGCATCAATCACTCGAACAGAGATCTTTATCATGAGCGAATCCCTGCACGTAGGCTGTCACAGGCTAGGAGCCTCGGATCCTGATAAAGGAGGGCCTTAGATAAAATGATCGAGTTGAATCAGGTCCCATATCCTACTTTTGATGGCCACATGGCAATCGCTAGTAACACTCATAACACCTTCCATCCTTTCCGTTGGTCTCTTCACATTTCCAACGCATCGATGTGTTTCTCTTGCTTTTGGTTTCTATTGTGAAGTAGGCAGACCTGATTTGATGTAATGACATTGCTTTATTAGTTGCATTTGGAATCTGCAAATTTGCACACTCTCTGAGAGAATAAAAAGGAATATAGGATGAATTGTTCTCGAGAAAGAATGTAGGATAGATTAGAACGTTTCTTCGTATGCCCCAACGAAAAACTAAGAAAAGAAAAACGAAACTTCACAATAGATTTTCTCAAATTTTATGCGGGAAACTGCACAAATGTAGAGCGAGTATACCAGCAGGCAAGTTACAACTACCATATGAGCATAATTTGCATAAAAATTAAGTATTCAAAGTAGTGGAATTATTCATTGTAGCTGCAAAATCTGATTTTTCCAACTTCCACAAACAAAATGCATCAAACTGCACGAAGTTTGGCAGTGCACATTGAGTACAAAGTAACATCTACCTTTCACGAATTTCTGCTACCCAATTGCTGATTTGCAGCTTCAAGACAAGCTAGATAGAAGAGTAATGCTACTAATAGAAGCACTGGAAACCCCCAAACTCCCAATTGTGTACCAGGCTTCAGAAACAAACGCCCACCCAGCTACTTGTATAAAGCAAATGAAGGCAACTGACATGGTAATTTTGCGATCACTTTTAAAATATTCCTGAAATTCCTGGCCAGTTCCACTATATTTTCATATATTCATTGAAACTTTAAGCGTTGTGAATAACGAGTTCAAGCAAATTCAGAAATAAAAGGCTTTAGATCCTAATATTCTCGTAACACATAAACATGAATACAGCGCTTTGACCTAACAAATATATGCACGTTCAGAAGCTACACATACATGACTACAAGCTGATCAACAAGTAACCCAGAAATGAAAGTAACCTACACCACACGAAATTATACGTGGTCACCTGAAGATTTTCCCAATGGGTCTCGACTGACAATAGATATTCCTGAAGAATGATCAAACTGTTCTCTCGTCAAGAAAACTGAATGTGGGCCCAAGCTTGACTCAAGTATCGAATGATTAAGCACCATCTCCGGTTCTTTGAATGCTTCCATGTTTACTCTTTGTTTCTTTCCTTGTCTTTCGCTTGGGCTCTCAACTGCTGAAGTTACATGACAGCCAGAATCAGGTGTTAGTGGCTCGTGATGGGAGGAGAAGGATTCATCTACGGAAAGGCGCTTGGCTGGAACACAGTCTTTGGCAGGCTTGGCCCGAGAAGGAGATTCAGATGTTGAAGCAGGAGTTGCTGGGTCAGTTTTATTATCAGAGTCCAGGCAACTGTCCCCTGTTTCAGGAGCTGTAACCCCTGAGCCAGGCACTCCTGAAAGAACTCCATTAAGGCGTTGCTGTTCTTCAATTATCTTCTTTAAATACTTCCTTGAGCTTCTATCCTCAACTGCAACTGTCTTTGGACCTGTTCATTTACCAACACAACTTCTCGCATACAATATAAACCATACATGAAAGAAAGCATCAACAGTGTTGGGGGGAAAAAAAGGCAACCTTCAACAGCTTCATACACCCTCCCTCCCCAGTAGAAGCAAGTCTGACAATCAGTTTTGTTAAAGTACCTAGATCTTAACGTTGCTCAGCATGTGAAAATTGAAAAACGAAAAATGACGATGATTGGATGTATTGTGGATGAGCTTATGGTACATATTCAATACAAGGTACCTCAGTCTGTTAATAGACGAGACTTGCGTGTGGGTGTGCCGGTGCGGGGGTTGGGCGGGGGGGTGTGGTGGCTTGTGAATTAAAATTTTGGAGTAATTTGGAATCTTGAAGTTTTAGGTTATATAAAACAAGAAGGAATAAATGGAATGTCCTTTTAGTAATAGTTGGAATAAAGATAATAGTAGGTTCACCGCTATAGAGAAGACCACGCTGTCTTGAAGATGATCACGCAAGGTACTTAGGTTAAATTAGGAACAATGAAGGAGGACTCAATAAGGTTGTAATGCATAGGATATTAGCGGTTGGTTGACACAAAAAAGTGCTACAAAAATCTTAAGTGATACTAAAATCCCTATAAGGTCAGAAAGGTTAGATTTTCTAAATCTACAAAATGCTGAGCCGTTGAAGAATAAAATATTCATAAGATGAACATAGTACAAATGATGATGCTAAGATAGATGTGTGAAAATAATAGAATGGACATGTTAATAAATGAGAATACGCACCAACAAGTAGAGTTAGCAAAATTGAAAAAAAAACTGAGAGAAAGATGCTTAACGGTTATGGCTTGCTTTAGACCTAAAGAAGCTTCTATTTAGGGGTGGGCGCGGGTCGGTTCGGTTCGATTTTTTTTTTGTTCCAGAAATTTTCGGGTATTTAGTAAATGGAACCGTCGGTTCCAAATATAATTTTGGAACTGTTTGGGTTCGG